CCCACATTTGCCCTGTCTTCAAGTGGGCCAAGAACACAAGCATACCTACTTGCCACTGGAAGTATGCAACATTGTTGCTGGGCAACGTTGCATCAAAAAACTAACGGATATGCAAACGTCAACAATGATCAAAGCCACTGCACGTTCAGCTCCCGACAGGTAATCTTTCACGCACATTTTTGTTTCTTCAGTTCCGATATATGAACGCTGAAGCATTTTTCGGCAAGTGCTTGTTTTTTCTCATCGATTTTATTTTATTAATCAAAAATTTCCTTCAAAAATTCGACAGAGAACGGGAAATCACCAATTTAGTACATCGAGCTGATTTCAACAATGACGCCTATGTACAAGAATTCGGATTGACCATTTCCAACAGTATGATGGAAGTACGCGGTCGTGTTCGTCCTCCACCAAAACTACGGCCGAGTGTCGTCGATCAGCGGGCAAGTAAGTATTCATATGCATTTCATATGACACGACTTTGCCTTCATTCAATTTGTGGATTATGTTTGTCGAAATCGACGAGAATCAGCCATGACACGATTTGGCGCGCGTGTTTCTCGAATGTCATTCTCGGTTTGAATTTATTCACCAAAATGAATGTGCATTAGGGTGTTTTTGCCATCAAATAATCAAGAAATGGTAGTTCTGGATTGAAAGAGTGAACAATTCTGAGTCGATTGCATGTATTTTTACTTTAAAATAATCAAAGATGCCACTTCCCGAGATCAAAACAGAAAATCATAGAATTTTGAGGTTATATTTTTATTCACTGAAATAAAGTAATATTTTCGACTCTTCCACTTTCAATCTCACTGCCATTGGTAAATTCACGATGCAGAATTTCATTTTCATGCATTTTCCGTCGAAAAAAACAAGGAAATCGGTGAAATATTACACATTTTCCATCGCATCTTTGACGGCATTTTTGATTGAAGAAATAACACTAATAGAACTATTTTTTGCACCGGAATTCAATCAATGCAGTTAGAACACACGATAAATTATCTGGATTTATCAACACATTCAATCGAACAAGTGCAAAAAGACCAATTTGGAACAAACGAAAAATGTAAACAAAAGTGAGCTGTCATCACGAAATCTGCACTCATTTGACATTAGAACGGATTGCCAATACACTTGCCCGAATGAATAACAAGTAATTCGCACACAGTGATTCGCGCAGTTGTGTTACGGTCTTGTCAAACATCAAAACAAGCCCGAATTTCATGATGACAGCTCGTTTCTGTTTACATTTTTCCTTCGCTCTAAATTGGTCTTTCTGGATTTGTTTGATCGGATGTTTTGATGAATTCAGATAATTTTTCGTGTGTTCTAACTGCATTGATTGAATCCCTGTGTAAAAATTGTTTTATTAGTGTTATTTCTCTCATTGAAAATGCCGTCAAAGATGCGATAAAAAATGTGTAATTTTCCACCGATTTCCTTGATTTATTCGACAAAAAATGCATGAAAATGAAATTCTGCAACGTGAATTTACCAATAGCAGTGGGATCGAAAGTGAAAGAGTTGAAAATATTGCTTTATTTCAGTGAACAAAAATATAACCTCAAAATACAATGATTTTCTGTTTTGATCTCGGGAAGTGGCATCTTTGATTTTTTTGCAGTAAAAATACATGCAATCGACTCAAAATTGTTCACTCTTTCAATCAAATTATTTGGTGGCAAAAACACCCTAATGTGCATGCACCCTAGTAGTAAAGTTAGCCAATTTGACGCGTATAAGAAGCATATTAAATTCAGAAAAGCCATTATTTCCTCCACAGAACAAAGTTAGCCTTGCATCTCCCAACCAAGGTGTTTGGGATATGCGTGGCAAACAATTTTTCACTGGTGTCGAAATTCGCGTCTGGGCTATTGCTTGTTTCGCACCACAACGTACTGTACGAGAGGATTCGCTGCGCAACTTTACCCAACAGCTACAGAAAATATCCAACGATGCTGGCATGCCAATCATAGGCCAGCCATGCTTCTGCAAATATGCCACCGGACCTGACCAAGTTGAACCCATGTTCAGATACTTAAAGAATAGCTTTAATGCACTACAACTTGTTGTAGTTGTACTTCCTGGTAAGTAACCGCCACTAGAACAATGACACAGTTCCTTTTGTCAATTGTTTTCTTATTAATTCCCGTTCAATCATTTCAATTTCAGGAAAGACACCTGTTTACGGTAAGAAAACATCTTTTTATATCTAGTTCAATCAACACATACACACACGCACACAGACACGATCCAATAATCTGACTCTTTTGTATTTTAACAGCTGAAGTTAAGCGAGTTGGTGACACTGTTTTGGGAATGGCCACACAATGTGTCCAAGCGAAAAATGTCAACAAAATATCGCCACAAACACTATCCAATTTATGCTTAAAGATCAACGTTAAACTGGGCGGCATCAATTCCATCTTCCCAAGCGCGACTCCACACTTAGCTTCTAAATGTGACACCTTGGTAAGTGTGAGCATTCGTCGTGCGAACAAGCAATAAAGAGAAGTGAGTACAAGTGCGCGTGTATTAGTCGCTACATTGTGAAGCATCGCATCAGGCTGCTCACTACCACACGCGCACTTGTTTCCATTCTCTTTGTCGCTTATTCGCAAAACGAATGCTCACACTTACCAAGGTGTCACATTAAGAAGCTAAGTGTGGAGTCGCGCTTGGGTTAGTACCATCCATACGACCAAAAGTATTCAATGAGCCAGTCATATTCCTTGGAGCTGATGTGACCCATCCACCAGCTGGTGACAATAAAAAACCATCTATTGCTGCCGTTGTTGGCTCCATGGATGGTCATCCATCACGATACTCGGCCACCGTCCGTGTTCAGCAGCATCGACAAGAGATTATTCAAGGTGAGACTCAAACCGGCCAAGTTAATTTGCTATATTTAGCATTTTGTAACATTCAAAATGTTCGAATTGAAATACCATTATTTTCCCCTTTAAATTTCTAATCACTGTTTTTTTCTTTCAACAATTTTGACTAAACTACAGAGCTTAGCAGCATGGTACGTGAGCTCTTGATAATGTTCTACAAATCCACCGGTGGCTATAAGCCACACCGAATCATTTTGTATCGTGACGGCGTCTCTGAAGGTCAATTCCCACATGTGCTGCAACACGAATTGACCGCATTGCGGGAAGCCTGCATCAAATTGGAAGCTGATTATAAACCGGGAATTACATTTATCGTTGTTCAGAAGCGACATCATGCGCGTCTATTCTTACAAATAAATCGTATTTACTTAGAGTATAAATAGAAACAAAAACAAGCAAAAAAAAAAATGAAAACACAAATTCACTGAAACCAAAACTGATAAGAGACATTATTTAGTTTGAATTAGCAGCAGCAGCATCGCCGCAACTAATGCAATTAGAACGATCTTATGAATTTTAGCTCGCGCGGTCGAACCACACATACCCTCCCTCTCGTTTCAACGTAATTTATTAATTTATCACAATCAAGAGGCACAGAGATAAGTAAGCATGCATACGGACCACAGTTATGCCACCAAAAAAAAGAGAAACAAATGAAAGAAACAGATAGGAGCACATCTCACATTTTTATTGAGAAAATAACAACACGAAAATCGATGAAAAAAAACATGGAGCATATTAGGCTAATTTATCATTATTACTTTTTTTTTTTAAATAAGAAAGCAGAAAAGAAGAAAACATTGTAAGCAATCAGATGAAAAGAGGTAACATTAACCGGCATCAAGCAACAAGAGAAACAACAATGAATCAATAACAGAAACAAATCATATGTACCTAATTGTAAGCGAAACATAGCCACAACACGCATACTCCACAGAGATACAAAAGGAAACAAATAACCCCAAACACACCGCAAATTTAAGTGAATCTATTTAATAAATATAAGCTTGTTGAAGAAGTACGAATCCCCAACCTGAGATCACTAGGCATGTTAGCCACCTTTTTTTATGAAATCGAATGAATTGTTGTTCAATTTTCGACACATTTTATCTCTCTAGCTCGAAAATTTAAAAGAAAAACCAACCCGCAGAGAACAAACCAGCAAACCAAAAATAACAAAACACAAGAAGTATGTCCAGCGAATTGCTTGACTGAACAAGGCTTGATGTGAACTTATCTAAAATTTTAAGTGTATTTAACGGAATGTTTTACGGAAAAACTTTTGCAAATTAACAATAAGATGTAGCAACAACAACAAAAAACCCCAACACAAATCAAAATATAATCTCCTAATTTCTCAGTATGGGACATCAACCCTTGATATCATAGATAGTTCCAAATTTCAATATTTCGTAACGACTCTCCACTATCCTCCTACCAACTATCGTACACTTGACGTGAATTGCACGCAACACAATTCGAATTCGAAGACTTTATGTTTCACCTCAAGCAAGGACATTTGGCTGTGTGTGCAGCACAAGTACTGTTTTAATCGTCATGTTCTGTTTTATTCAGAGATGAACAAGTAGGCTCTCATTGGATTTCATTGAAGTGTTTCCAGAAACATATACCGAAGACCCAGAACAAAAGCAAATTGCCATTTAGCTTAGTGCAAGCCTAAGCATTTGTTCTATTTTTCTAAATGTCCTTCTCTTCTATGGCCATTCCAATGATTATTGAGCGAGAGCCTCGTGAGCGATATGCAAATACACATTTAATGGTAGCGTAAAGAATTTCATCCCAATAGTTTCGTATAAGGTAAATTTCGGTTTTGGAAACTACGGAAATGGTGAGAAAATGAGTAACTTGATTTAAAATGTTTTTGGTCTATGCACCAAATACATTTGAATCAAACCAATTGCTTGGACCTTTTCTGAAGCTGACAGAGTGTTCAAGAGTGAACAAAAATATATCAAGCATAAATTCACTTGCAA